GGAGGATGACTCAAATGTGCCAAAGTGAGTCCTGGCCAAGGGGAGGGAGTGCCCTCAACTTTGGTTCTTAGGCCGAAGGGAAGGTGGCAGGCGAGTTAAGTGACACCTTTGATGTGTGGCTTTGTGCTCTTGGTGTGTGTGTGGAGGCAGGCTTCCCTGGGGTGGCGGTTCTCAACCACATGTCAGCAACCATGAGTGGTGAGATGGGTTGGCGAGATGGGTTGGCGAGATGGGTTGACAAGATGGGTCCCAGCATTTGTCATGATAAGAGAGCAGATGACTTATCTCTGTGTTAGGATTCTGTCAGTTGCAAATAACTGACCGGAAACAGTTCTGCCTTAAGTCCGTTTTTCACAAAGAATAAGCCCCTGATCCTCACGTTGGGCAGCCGGTAATGTTAACTGCAACTTCACGTGACATTGTTTGACGTGCCATTGGCCTTGCGCCTGTCTTAGGGTTGGGAAGACTATCCTATATAATAAAAGGATAATATGCAAATCGACCAAATGGTGGAATGACTGATCGCTATGACATACACTGACCACCACAGGGCAGAGGCTCAACTCAGGAGCTGCCCCCTGGTGGTCAGGTCATGGCTGGTGAGCACAGCGGTGGTGGCCGGAGCCTCTTCCCCCAAGGGATCCCGGACTGCAAGAGGGTGCAGGCTGGGCTGAGGGACCTCCCCACTCGAGTGCACAAATTTCGTGCACTGGGCCTCTAGTTGTTTATATTTTCAAAGATTCCATCTGGATCTGGGGAGGCCTCCCCAACAGAGGGGTCAGCCTCCAGTGCCACATTCTCCTGTGGAAATATATCAAAGTGGGTTCCCTGGGGGACAGATTCCACTCGTCTTGTCAGCCAGGAGCTGATGTGGCACTTGGGAGAAGCTGTGGGCCAGAGGACACCACTCTCTGGGTATTTTTGAGAGGTCAGGATCCAGCCTATAGGTGAACTGACCTTTGCTTTGACTTTTGTAAAACCAGTCTGCTGAGCATCTCCCCGAGAGCAGTGAGCCCTGCAATGTCACAGCACAGCCGAGAGAATTCCAGTGAGCCCACTGGGCATGCCCCTCCTTAGCTGTTCCTCAGGCTCTCCAGTTCCTGCTGCCTTGGGCAGGAGGCCCTGAGAGGAAGAAAGCTGAGGGCTTGGCCTATAATCTCTCCTCTTGACCTAGTGTTTACACAGCGGAGTAGAAAGTGCTAGAAATGCCCCCCCTTTTACTTTGACAAAATGACATTGTAACACATGTGTGTATATGTTTTAAAACATATCCTGCCCTGGAATAGATAAATAAACAAATAAATAGATAAATAAATAAATACTGGTTAGTTTTTTAAAAGCATTACATAGTGCCCTAGCCAGTTTGGCTCAGTGGATAGAGCATCACTGCGGACCAGCTTTGATTCCTGTCAAGGGTACGTGCCCGGGTTTGGGGCTCAATCCCCAGTAGGGGGCGTGCAGGGGGCAGCTGATCAATGATTCTCTCATTATTGATGCTTCTATCTCTCTCTCCCTCTCCCTTCCTCTCTGAAATCAATTAAAAAAATATTACATAGCTTTGTGAGTGTACATATATGTATACTTACATTAACAATGTTATCATTAACCATATGTTATCATTTTTTTTCAGACCTGCCTTTTTAAAGGCTGCAGAAAACTTCACCCTTTTGGTTAAGAACAACATCTGATATCCCAAATTTAACTTCACCAAGTAAGTGGTGGCCGGCTGTGTGAGTTCACCAGTGTCTTGGAGAGACCTCTTTTTTGAGATTTTCCTCGCTTCTATTTTCCGCCTCCTCCCAACTTTAGGAGAAACATCCTCCCCAAATCAATTAAAAAAATATTACATAGCTTTGTGAGTGTACATATATGTATACTTACATTAACAATGTTATCATTAACCATGTTATCATTTTTTTCAGACCTGCCTTTTTAAAGGCTGCAGAAAACTTCACCCTTTTGGTTAAGAACAACATCTGGTATCCCAAATTTAACTTCACCAAGTAAGTGGTGGCCGGCTGTGTGAGTTCACCAGTGTCTTGGAGAGACCTCTTTTTTGAGATTTTCCTCGCTTCTATTTTCCGCCTCCTCCCAACTTTAGGAGAAACATCCTCCCCAACATCACCACTACCTACCTCAAGTCGTGCATTTACAATGCCGCAACAGATCCGTTCTGCCCCATCTTCCGTCTTGGCAAAATAGTGGAGAATGCAGGGCACAGCTTCCAGGACATGGCTGTCGAGGTAGGCATGGGCCCTGGCTTTGCTGGCACAGTCTCCGGCACGTCTCATTTCAAAACAGGCTCTAAGGAAAGCGTGCTTTGTCTCTGCTCGCAACCCACAGGGCGGCATCATGGGGATCCAGATCAAATGGGACTGCAACCTGGACAGAGCCGCCTCCTTCTGCCTGCCCAGGTACTCCTTCCGCCGCCTGGACACTCGGGACCTGGACCACAATGTGTCCCCCGGCTACAATTTCAGGTGGGCGTGGGCATGGGCTTGGGCTGATGGGTGGGCATGTGTGGCGGGTGATGGTGACTGGATCACTCCCCAGTGGGGGCATCCACACCCACCTAAGACCAGCACTCAGGCAGCCGCCACGGGCAGGTGGGAGCCGTGTGCCAGGAAGAATGCTCCGAGAGAGGCCGTGCGCCTGTGGCATCCTGGCCTGTGAGAGCCCTCCTTGCCCGCCCTTTCTTGTCTCAAGAAACATATTGAGCCCGGCTGGCATGGCTTAGGGGTTGGGCATCGACCTATGAACCGGGAGGTCACGGTTCAATTCCTGGTCAGGGCAAATGCCCAGATTGTGGGCTTGATCCCCAGTGTGGGGTGGGCAGGAGGCAGCCAACCAATGATTCTCATCGTTCATGTTTCTATCTCTTTCTCCCTCTCCCTTCCTCTTTGAAATCAATAAAAAATTAAAAAATAAAAGAAACATGTTGAGGCAATTTACAGAGCAGCTGAGGGAGGCTGGCTGCTCTACTCTCTCAGGCCAGCCTCAGCCGGGACCCTCACTCACTACTTTCGAGGAAGGGCTGAGTTTGTGACCCTCTAGTCCAGAGGCCTCTGGGCTCTGACCCAGGAACTGATTTCTCAAATACAGAGTCTGCCCCGGCATCTCCAATGTGCACAGGATACAGGTTTCAGTCTCAGGATGGGCCTTTGCTGGTATTTCTCTGTTGAAAGTGCTGTGTATTCGTTTCCTAGGGTTGCCATAACAGATTACTACAAACCGGGGGGCTGGGAACAAAGGAGTTTATCCTCTCACAGTTCTGGAGGGCAGAAGCCCCACATCCTGGTGTCAGCAAGGCCAGGCTCCTTTCTTGCCTCTTCCAGCTTCCGGTGGCTCCCGACAATCCTTGGTGTCCCTTGGCTAGTAGACACGTCACTCCAGTCTCTGCCTTCTCCCCTCTGGGTCTCTGTCTGCGTGTCCCCTCCTCTTCTTAGAAAGACACCAGTCATATTAGATTCAGGGCCTGCCTTAACTCAGTGTGTCCTCATCTTAGGGGCCAGGCTCCCGTTTGCCACTTTCCTGTAGCCACATACGTTTGCACCTGCCCTTTGTCGCATCTTGCACACAAGTAGCCACTATCAAAAACAGGCCCCAGGCCCTGGCTGGTTTGGTACCATGGGTAGAGCATTGGCCTGTGTACTGAAGGGTCTAGGGCACATGCCCGGGTTGCGGGCTCGATCCCCAGTACTCTAGTGGTGACATGGGGAATCAAATGCACGTGTGATCTGCAGTCCTTTTGAACCATCTGGCTCTCGGATAGAAAGGCAGATGTAAACTGATAAGAACAGATACTACACTTGATCTTAGCCGCACCTGCCCTTTGTCGCATCTTGCACACAAGTAGCCACTATCAAAAACAGGCCCCAGGCCCTGGCTGGTTTGGTACCGTGGGTAGAGCGTTGGCCTGTGGACTGAAGGGTCTAGGGCACATGCCCGGGTTGCAGGCTTGATCCCCAGTATGGGGCGTGCAGGAGGCAGCTGATCAATGATTCTCTCTCATCATTGATGTTTCTATCTCTCTCTCCCCCTCCCTTCCTCTCTGAAAAAAAAATTTTTTTTTTAAAAGGTCCCAGGAGGGGCCACCTGAGTAGGTCAGTGGTGCTTTTTCTGTTGCATTTGTCTCCCTCTAGTGGTGACATGGGGAATCAAATGCACGTGTGATCTGGCTCTCGGATAGAAAGGCAGATGTTTGAATCTTTTCCTAAGCAAGGAGTTCGATCTGTGTTGCTCTGTCTCTACCCTCACACAGTTCTTGTAGAAACCACTGGGCTGGAACTCCAAAACAGAGAGAAGCCAATGGGACCCTCACAAGGACAGCCCTCCCCTGACTCCTGCCAGCATCAGGCCCTGCCCAAGTCCCAGGCCTGGGCCATGGCACGGGGACAGATCACGGGCCAAGAGTTTAGGTTCCGGGATTCCCTGTATAAAACAGGCAGCAAATGGTATCACGTCTCAATGGTTCTCCCTCAGCCATTTCCCTTTGTGTGTGTGTGTGTGTGTGTGTGTGTGTGTGTGTGTGTGTGTGTGTGTTTTAAGGCTTTGAGACAGTTCACATACCACACAGTTCACCCATTTGAAGTATAGAATTCTGTTTTCAGTACATTCACCGAGTTGTGCACCTACCACCACAATCAGTTTTAGAACATTTCCATCACCCGTACCCTTTAGCTTTCACCTCTCTGTCCCCCTCTCCCCAGTCCCTGGCAACCTCTCATCTACTTTCTGTTTCTGCATTTGCCTATTCTGGACTGTCATATGAATGGAGTCATACAGCATGGGGCCTTCTGTGTCTGGTTTCTTTCACTCAGCATCATGTTTCTTTAGAGATTTATCCAAGCTGTAGCATTTATTAGTACTTCATCTCTTTTTTATAGCCAAATGACATTCCATTGTGTGGATATACCACATTTATCCATTCATCCGCTGATGGAGCAATGGTTCTTTCAAAAAAAAAAAAGTCCAGTGCTGATGCTGGGAGTGACCAGCTTCACAGTCTTGGGGAATGCTGATGGCCGGCGACATCCCTTAGTGGCCAGGGTCTCCTTGAGAGGCAGGTGGCTCTGCTGCCAGGAGGGAAGGACATTCAGAGCTAGAGGTTCCGGTTGAAGACATAGGAGGCCGCCGTGTTAGGAGAGTGGGAAGCTTTGTCACCAAGCCAGTCCTCCTGCTGTGTGGCCCACCCACACAGGAGCCGGGAGAGGCCCCGAGGTGCTCAGGTGTCTTCTGTTCAGCAGGCAGAGCCAACCTTTGGCCAGTGCCAATGCTGCGAGGCCTCAGGGAGGGGGCGGGGAGGATTCCGCTGTAACATCACTGGCCCAGGACCCAGAGGGCAGATCCGGCCACGGTTTCCCACTGCTGTGCCTTCCCCTCACCTGTTTCCTTCCCCAGGTTTGCCAAGTACTACAACGACCTCACTGGCACGGAGCACCGCACACTCATCAAGGCCTACGGCATCCGCTTCGACATCATCGTGTTCGGAAAGGTAGCCTGGCTGCCAGCTCCTCACCCAGACCCTGCTCGTCCCTCTTCTGGGTGGGCCAGGGGCGGTGTCCTCTCCCCACTCTTTACCTGCCCTTTACCCA